CTGGGCCAGAAAAGCTGAAACTTATGTGGAAGCATCCTGGGATAGTGTAGATTCTAAATTGTTCAAATCATGACCCCTGGGGGTAGGGCAGGGCCACAATGGGGAATCAAAGTTTTACATAGAAATATATAGGAAAAAACTTTAAAAATCTTCTTCTCAAGAACCACTGGGTCAGAAAAGCTGAAACTTATGTGGAAGCATCCTGGGGTAGTGTAGATTCTAAATTGTAAAAATCATGACCCCCGGGGGTAGGGCGGGGCCACAATAGGGAATCAAAGTTTTAAGTAGAAATATATAGGAAAAATCTTTTAAAACCTTCATCTCAAGAACCACTGGGCCAGAAAAGCTGAAACTTATGTGGAAGCATCCTGGGGTAGTGTAGATTCTAAATTGTAAAAATCATGACCCCTTGGGGTAGGGCGGGGCCATTATAGGGAATCAAAGTTTTACATAGAAATATATAGGAAAAAAACTTTTAAAATCTTCTTCTCAAAAACCACTGGGCCAAAAAAGCTAAAACTTAAGTAGAAGCATCCTGGGGTAATGTACATTCTACATTTTAAAAATCTTGACCCCTGGGGGTAGGGCGGGGCCATAATAGGGAATCAAAGTTTTACGTAGAAATATATGGGAAAAATCTTTGAAAATCTTCATCTCAAGAACCACTGGGCCAGAAAAGCTGAAACTTATGTGGAAGCATCCTGGGGTAGTATATATTTCAAATTGTCTTAATTATGAGCAGTGGGGTAGGGTGGGGTCACAATATACAGTTATGGACTGGGTATGAGGGCAACATATGATTTGTTGGACCTAAAGGTGAAAATGTTGCCCGAGGCCACAGGCCATGGGCAACATTTTCACCTTCAGGTCCAAGAAATCATATGTTGCCCGAATCCCAGTCAATAACTGTTTTATTATACCATTCACTGCTCACTTAAGATTTAATTATTAATACACACTATTTATCAATTACTTTATATGGAATATTTTGGCTTAACCAATAAATATAAAACAATAGCTGAGAAAGAACAAAATTTATTTTATCACAAATATTATTTATTACAAAACATACTCTTCCCTCCTTCCTTACCTTGCTGGTTGCAACAACTCTTGCAGCTCTTAACTTCGGATATTTCCGTGTCACCGATATTGAACGATTATCAATTACTTGTGATGTAGCAGTGACGTTGCGGTCTAACAATTCTTATGTTGGACTGGCAGGCCAGTCAACAGTGATATTGTTAGACTGATGTAATAAACATTTCTTTTGTTGGACTTTTTATTAATAATAAATATATAGAAGGCTTTTTATAAGGGTATAACAATATGTATTACAAGGGTGAAAACTGGTAAAGAATGGAATGGTCAAAGCTTCTCAGGTGAGCGATGTGGCCCATGGGCCTCTTTTTTTTTATCTGAAGGCACAAATAAGCTTTTCTGAGCAACATTTGTCAATTGTCTGTCACCACCATTGTTGAAAGAGTCATGGTATTTTTTAAAAAATTTATATAGCGGTAATTTAATATAATAGAACCACTGGTCCATTTAGAGTTGGGTCATAATGTGGTCCATATTTTACTTGATTAAGAATGTACAGGAAAAAGAGTTCACCGATGAAAAACAGAAGGACCTTTATACATTACTATAATCAGGTGAGCATTGTGACCCATGGACCTCTATAAAGCATAGGTTATTTTTTTGATTTTGACATTTGTGTTTATGAAGGTTGTACATGTATTTTGATTAGGGGGTGAGGTGGGATTTGGGGAGTGTTGTGTAAATGTGGTAAAGTCATGTTTTTACTTTTTAGGTCACCTGAGTAAACTCAGGTGACCTATTGCTATCCGTTTTCGTCTGTCGTCGTGCGTCGTGCGTCGTGCGTTAACATTTGAACATTTTCAGCTTCTTCTCTGCAACCACTGAACCAATTTCAACCAAATTTGGCACAAAGCATCTATGGGTGAAGGGGAACAAAAATTGTAAATTTCATGATCCCTGCCCCCCTGGGGCCTGAGGGGTGGGGCCAAAACCACTAAAATTAATGCAATCTTTAAAAATCTTCTTCTTTACTCCTGGACATCAAGCAATCGAACTGTTTGCATGATTGTAATCAGCATTGAGTCCTCTACCAAAATTGTGAAATTCATAGCCCTGGGGTCAGGGGTTCTAGTGCTAGGGCGGGGCTAAATAAGTAGGTAGTGAAAATGCATTATTTCTTTGAAAATCTTCTTCTCTGCTCTTGGGTATTAAATAAACCAACTAAGTACATAGTTATGATGAGCAAGAGTGCCTCTATCAAAATTGTGAATTTTATGGCCCCAGGGTCAGGGGTTCTGGTGTTAGGGCGGGGCTCTATTGATTATATAGTGAAAATACATTATTTCTTTGAAAATCTTCTTCTCTGCTCCTGGGTATTAAATAAACTAACTAAGTACATAGTTATGATGAGCAAGAGTGCCTCTACCAAAATTGTGAATTTTATGGCCCCAGGATCAGGGGTTCTTGTTTTAGGGTGGGGCTCTAATGATTATATAGTGAATTGCATGAATTCTTTGAACATATTATCCTTTGCTCCTGGTTAATATGCTAATGATCTAAATACATATTTAAGGCCAGGATTTATTTTATTTTCAGTTGTACAAAGCCTCCGCTCAAGGTTTTGAATTTTCAGAAAAAAATAAAAAAATTTTCTTTCCGATGTCAAATATGAGTCGGGATCGAGATTTCAAATTTACGAACTCGCACTTCCGGTTTTAAACGGCGGGTAAATAAATCTACATAGTGTAAAATTCATCGATACGAGTGCCATTCAAAACGTTTCACCCGTTCAAAGGACAAATAAAATGCTGACGACTTTGTTGCACAATGACATGCTGGTGAGATAATTATGTATTCGTTTCAAGTTTCTGTCTGTAAATTATTTTCCTCCCCCAGGTTTTAAACTGCCCGTGGTAGCTATTGCATATTGCCAGCGACATTGTTTAGGTCTCTGTCATAGCTTACAGTCTAAGCATCATTCTTCAGATAAGGGTTGCTTATGCATCAGATGTAATGAATAAAACTATGGGAGAAGGTAAGTCAATTTGAGGTCAGAAGAAATGAACAATAACCTGAAGAAATAAAAAAAAATTCAACTATTAAGGCAAGAATATACAAATATATACAGGCATGTAGTATCATTTGTATCAGCCAGAGAAATTATTTTACACTTAATTGAAAAAATGTTCACCGTACTCTCCAATACTCCCTGTCTGTTTTATGATAGGAATTATAATTTTAGGCATCAAGTAAATTTTAGAACAATGTCTACACATTCACCTAACACATATTAAAAAAAATGAAGATATATTGAAAGACTTTTAAAGAATTGATTTTTTAAAATATATTTTGACCAACATCACAAAATTTATATAACTGGCCCAAACTGGCAGATGATGAAATAAGCAATTAAATGTTCTACTTTCCTATTTGTAAGTATTATGTGCCCAGTGGTAAGGAGCCTATTAGAATAGCATAAAAAAAGAATGTACAATTGATTTATCCAAAATTTTTTTTTTTATTTCCTTTTCCTTCGAGACTTTTTTATTCTCATGTTCATAACTAAACCTAAACATAAAAAAAAAATGCTGGCCTTATAATGAAGAGAGGGGCCTCTTTCAAAATAGATAAATTCAGGGCCATTTGGGTCAGGGGTACCATGGGGGTACTTTGACTAAAAATAAATTAATGCATTGAAATCTGCCCTTTGATAAGCAATGGTGCCTCTTTCAAAATTTGTGAATTTCATGGCTTTTGGATTAAAACACGAACCAAATACGATCGCTGGAAAGTTGTTACATGATACTCAGGTGACCTATAAGGCCCGTGGGCCTCTTGTTCTGATGAAGTCTTTATAAGGACTGATAGTAATTTTTGGTCCCAATTTTCTAACAAGTTGTGACAACTAATTATGGATTAGGAGGTAGGGCAGTAATTAGTGTCAGATATGTTAAACAGTATTGATTCTAACTGATCAAAATGCAGATACTATTGTTTGTAAAGACAGTGGCTCATCCAGAAGAGATTCCTAATATCTTTCAGTCGCTCATGGGATAAGGGATTCATAAGCGTACACTGGCAAGATGGCTGGCTAGTAGAAAAGATCCCTGATTGTATTACAAATCAGGCATATTTGTCCAGCTATTGTAGGGGATTATTAGGGCCTTTTGTGGCCACTATCAAATCAGTCTGACTGGAATTCTGGAAATGTTTATGATCCCCAAATCAACACAAACAAAGCATCAAGGCCATCAGCCATTACATGTCATCCATGTGGCTTAAGGTCAGACGAGGCGTTCCTCAAAATCCGTTTTGTATATCTTTTTAATATATAAAAAATATTCCAAATATTTATAACATTCTGATTTCTAAACCTGTTTCTAAACGTTTTTGAAAAATCCAAACTCTTAAACATTTGAAATTGGAAAATTATTTTTCATCCCCAAAGAATTATATAAGAAAAACTACCCCTGGTATCTTGCAGAAATGCCTGGTAGGGTACGTCAAATTTTTGTGAGTAAACATGTTTAAGTAGCAATACTTCAATGACAAACTCTTAGAAAAATTTATCAAATATTAAGGAACGTCTCGTCTGTCCTTAAGGTTCAACATGTCATTTCATGATAATGACTACAGATCATAGAATACATGTATTAATCGTAAAATTTAGATGTTATCTAAGGAGTATCTGGTGTTGGATTCCTCCCTCCCCATTCCCCTTTCCCCAGCATTAAATAAAGAAAGGAAGGAAAAAACTTATTGACTCTTGATAAGGAACTGAGTAAATGTTCTCCTTGAATGTTATGGAGTAATTGTAGGACAGGGTGATGACATTTGGCCAGTTATTTGACCCTTGTCTTCAATGCTACACATTTATTTTTTTGATTGCTCATAAAATGTTGTCTGTACATTGTATTATATTTAATTATGTTCTCTTCAAAATATACATTCGTGTTTTGCAGGTTTTGGGTCACAAAGAGGGTCTAAATGTAATGGAGGGAGTGGATCCAATCTTTTTATTGATCTGCCTTCCCATCATCCCTGTGGTGCTTATCCTGGGTAAGATGTGTCGCTGGGAGGATTACGTTCTCAGACTGTGGAGGAAGCATGTGGCCAAAATCCCCTTCCTACAGAACATCTTATCTAGTGGTAAGTCATGTAACCGCCATCTGACCACTATCTTATCTAGTGGTAAGTCATGTGACCGCCATCTGACCACCATCTTATCTAGTGGTAAGTCATGTGACCGCCATCTGACCACCATCTTATCTAGTGGTAAGTAATATGTCCACCATTTTCTCTAGTGGTAAGTCATGTGACCTTCATCTTATCTAGTGGTAAGTCATGTGACCATCATCTTATCTAGTGGTAAGTCATGTGACCACCATCTGACCACCATCTTATCTAGTGGTAAGTCATGTGACCACCATCTGACCACCATCTTATCTAGTGGTAAGTCATGTGACTGCCATCTGACCACCATCTTATCTAGTGGTAAGTCATGTGACCGCCATCTGACCACCATCATATCTAGTGGTAAGTAATATGTCCACCATCTTCTCTAGTGGTAAGTCATGTGACCATCATCTTATCTAGTGGTAAGTCATGTGACCATCATCTTATCTAGTGGTAAGTCATGTGACCACCATCTGACCACCATCTTATCTAGTGGTAAGTCATGTGACCACCATCTGACCACCATCTTATCTAGTGGTAAGTCATGTGACTGCCATCTGACCACCATCTTATCTAGTGGTAAGTCATGTGACCGCCATCTGACCACCATCTTATCTAGTGGTAAGTAATATGTCCACCATCTTCTCTAGTGGTAAGTCATGTGACCTTCATCTTATCTAGTGGTAAGTCATGTGACCACCATCTGACCACCATCTTATCTAGTGGTAAGTCATGTGACCGCCATCTGACCACCATCTGACCACCATCTTATCTAGTGGTAAGTCATGTGACTGCCATCTGACCACCATCTTATCTAGTGGTAAGTCATGTGACTGCCATCTGACCACCATCTTATCTAGTGGTAAGTAATATGTCCACCATCTTCTCTAGTGGTAAGTCATGTGACCATCATCTTATTTAGTGGTAAGTCATGTGACCATCATCTTATCTAGTGGTAATTCATGTGACCGCCATCTGACCACCATCTTATCTAGTGGTAAGTCATGTGTTATGTAATATGTCCTGTAGGACTGTTACCTGTGAGAATGATTACATATATGACTATGACATGTAAAAGTGGTTAGGTGTAGGTGTGGTTACCTGTAGGTATTTTACCTGTAGGATTGTTTAAACCTGTAGATCTTTTGATGTTGTCTGTACCTGTAGATATGATTACATGTAGGCCTGTAAATCTATAGATGGGTAGGTCTGGTACCTAGGTTAATTTGTTAGTTAGGCCTCCGACTGTTTCCTGTAGTGTTGGATACATATAGGACTGTTACATTTAGATGTGTTTACATGTTGGACTGAGTGATACCTGTATATGATGTTACCTGTGGAATAGTGTTAAATAGATAGCCATGGTCATTCCCTTTTTGTATTTTTCATTACTGGTACCTGTTAGGTATAGAGATGTACATTTGTGGGTGTAGGTGTATATTTACCACTTAGTGTCTGTTTCAGTATAACTTAATGATACTATCCCCAGTGCTACCACTGCAGTCCCATAAAACACTGCAGCTATAGTCTTAACCACAAACGGCACTTTGACACCTAATTATTCTGTTTTCTTCACTAGGGAAATTAATAAAGGCTGAGGAGGCCCTTAGTTGACGAGTTATTACACGTAGGCAAATCGCTATAAATTGATTTTTGGAATACCCACTCCTTAGAATAAGAATTTGAGTTCCAAATTCCATTGGGTGTTTTTATTGTCTGTGAACATTTCTGGGAGTGTATTGTAACATGCTCTTCTATCTTGGCTCCCTTTATACTTCGTCTATAACAAGTTTTTACCTACATTTAACTGACCATCCCCTACATCATGTCTACTGGCATCATCCTCAGAATTTCAGTTTATATTATTATACCCCCCGCAAACAAAGTTTGGGGGGGTATATAGGAATCACCTTGTCCGTCTGTCCGTCTGTCTGTGCAATCGTGTCCTGTCCATATCTTTCTTACAGAGGGACATTAGAATCTACTACTCCACACTAAGATTGCTCATGACCTAAGGGTGTGTCATGACCTTGACCCAAGGTCATTTGGGGAAGTTCAAGGTCACTGGAAGAAAAATTTCATAATTCGTGTCTGGTCCATATCTTTCTTATGGATAAACTTGGTAGGTTCTCATTTCAAACAAAGATTGCCCATGACCCAAAGGTGTGTCATGACCTTGACCCAAGGTCATTTGGGAAAGTTCAAGGTCACTGGAAGAAAATTTTCATAAATCATGTTTGATACATATCTTTTATGGATAAACTTGGTAGGTTCTCATTTCACACAAAGATTGCCCATGACCCAAGGGTGTGTCATGACCTTGACCCAAGGTCATTTGGGGAAGTTCAAGGTCACTGGAAGAAAAATATCATAATTCGTGTCCGGTCCATATCTTTCTTAGGGATAAACTTGGTAGGTTCTCATTTCACACAAAGATTGCCCATGACCCAAAGGTGTGTCATGACCTTGATCCAAGGTCATTTGGAGAAGTTCAAGGTCACTGGTAGGAAAATTTCATAATTCGTGTCCGGTCCATATCTTCCTTAGGGATAAACTTGGTAGGTTCTCATTTCACTGAAAGATTGCCCATGACCCAAGGGTGTGTCATGACCTTGACCCAAGGTTATTTGGGGAAGTTCAAGGTCACTGAAATAAAAATTTCATAATTCAAGTCCGGTCCATATCTTCCTTAGGGATAAACTTGGTAGGTTCTCATTTCACTGAAAGATTGCCCATGACCCAAGGGTGTGTCATGACCTTGACCCAAGGTTATTTGGGGAAGTTCAAGGTCACTGAAATAAAAATTTCATAATTCGTGTTTGATACATATCTTTATTATGGAAAAAGTTACTTCTGAAAAACCCAGCGGGGGGTATTTTGTCCCGTTTGGACAGTTCTAGTTTAACTAAAGACCTATTTTTAATAAGACTAGGGCAGAGTCATGTCTGTCTATCATCCATCTGGTCTTCTGTCTTTTCATCTTTCCATCTTTTTATCTATCCACCCATCACAATGCAGTTTCATATACTTCATATACTTATACATATTGGTAAGAGATATTCAACAAAGGGTATGACCTTGACCTCTATGACTTTGACCTTTATTATCTCAAATTTGTGATTCAAAGAAACCATTCAAAATATTTTATCAAACTCCCCTGCTGATACAGCAAAACTCGGTTATAACGAAGTCGCTGGGACCTTTGAAATTACTTCGCTATATCCGTAATTCGTTATAACCGTATAAGAAATTCATTAAATTTATATAGCTGGGGATCCAAAATGACTTCGCTATATCCGTGAATTCGCAATATCCGTGTTCGTACTAAACGAGTTTTACTGTACATGTTGTTAAGAGCTATTACAGCATAAATTTGTTTTACCTGATACATGATGTTCAGAATTTGACTTTTTTTTTACCTTGACCTTCACTATGACCTTTACTTCACTATTTACTGTAAACTAACTATTATTTATAGCAACTTTTATTTGTGATGCATCAGTTTGAATTCTATCTGTGACAAATAGTTTTTAAAACTGGGGAGATACTACATAGCAATCTACTTATTAATAAATAAATAGTTCAGTAGATATACTTGTTATTGTTAAAATGATTTTTGTTGCAGTTTAAGGATGGTCCTCATTCATTCCATCCCGTGTTGTATTCTCAGGAGAAATTTCATACTATTGATATATTTTTCTATACCACCAGTAAACATTAAACATAAAGTCAAATCATTGAACATATACAGTCTCTACAAGAATTCCAAAAGGAGAGTCTTTTTGTATCTGATATTATAGTTAATATGAATAAATCAATTTGTGTGTTCAGTGCAGTATAAAAATGAGGGTACATTGATGAAGCCTGTCTGTTAGGTTTCATTCACAGAATGCTGTCTGTTATGACCCTGGACTTCAGACATCAATATTCTTCTTCTGAGGTTCATTGATCTGCTGTGACCTTCAGAATGTGACACGAACATTTTCATCATCATTACCCTGGCCATAGTCACGGGCAGCTCTCCCAGTGTTGGGGTGATTAAATAAAGTCTGTAAAACTCTTTATCATCATCTGACAGAAACAATAGGAAAAGAGCATCTAGAGGACTCAGAGTGATATACATGCAGTTCATACAATATTCATTTTTAATCCAAGAACAAGTGATTAACAGATTGATCAAGTAATCAAGAGCAGAGTTACAACTTAGATTACAAAGTGTAGTTAAATGTTATACAGAAGAATTGTTAAGAATAATACCCGGGGTTAAAATATTCTCCTTATCTAAAAAAAATGACAAGGAAACTATAAAAGGTATTTGTAGTAAGAAAACATTAACACAGTCATTTTAGTCAAAGAAGTTTACTAAATGATAGATTAATTGTGATGAATTGCCATATTGTCTAGAAGTTACTTTGGAGATATTCTGTAATTTGAATAGCTTACCTGACAAACAGGAACTAAATGATGCCGTCAGAACAGGGGTGACTTTGGGAGCAATCATAAACCTGATCACCCACCCCACCCTCAGCTGCCTACCCTTTATAAACAAAAAGAGATGTTTGTGACACATATATACCCAGGGTTGGCAGCTTATAGCAAAGGTTGAAGTTTCTAAAATGCAAGTTGAACTGTTAGGTCAAAGTCAAGAGATAAAAATGATAGTATCCAGAACCATCTTATGTAAAACATGGTTATAAGGAAGTCATTGGGAGATCTAATTTTTTATATCCATATAAGGAAAATTCTAAGGGATTCATCAAATGTTTTCATATTACTGAGGCTTCCTTATAAGAAAGTTCTATTAAAGCAAGTTTAACTGTATTTAAAACGAAAGTTGCTGCTACTTTCTTTTTAACATTATATAGGTTATATATATTAGAAAAACACACTAAACTCACCAAATTGATACCTATTAATGAAAAAAGATTGGACAATGCAAATAGGAGTTTTAGTGTTTGTAAGAAACCAAATCATGGCATTGTCAGAGCTAAAGATATGTAGACTTCAAGAGGGTATAGGTTTCAGTGGCATGTGACAGGGGAAGGCCAGGAGATTGTTCACAGATCAAAGATAGATAAGAGGTGCTGCAGAATTATCATCCCCCAGAGGGCAGTACAAGCAGGCCATTTACTTATCTCTCAGTTAATTCCTTACAGAGGGAAATTCAGATATTATATCTCTTAGTCTCCAGACAGGGAGCGTTTCTCAGTGATACATCAAGCAAGTCTTATGAATTAAACGTAACAGTCTGCTTAATTTACTGCCGGGAAGTCACTCAAAGGTCAAGGTCACAAATTCATGTACAACCTGGTATATCCTAGAATTGGGAATCCAGATCTTATCTTAGTAAAAAAAAAGTACCCATTGATGAAGTCTAATGTCAGATTGCTACTTAGTGCATCTGTGCAATAAACTTAATGTTGGTTGGCAGCTGCAGTAGTATTGATTTCATTTGATTTGCACTCAATTTTATGGGTATCAATAATTTTAAGGTGTGAAGTAAACTGACTACACATGCAGTTAGTGACAAGTTTGAATATAGAGTAATATGGAATTACTAAGCAGGACTGTGTATATGTATATTGTTTTTAAAATTACAATAACTGCCATATACAAGTGTATTTTATCCAATTGACCTCAATTTTCCAATAAAGTACTATAAAAAGTTTGATTTTAAAATGTTTCATAATCACATGTCATGTAAGCAGTGACTGTGCTTAAGCTTAGCTAGGATGCTATTTTTTGCTCACTGCTCTGTGATAGCATGTCAAAGGGAGGTAATCCTGGCTCAGCAGCTGGGCTTGTCTGGAATTCAGTGTTCTAAGTAGAGTTTGATCAGCTGCAACAAAGAAAAATTAGAAAGTGCAGAATCAGTCTAAAGTAAACAATAGGAATCATGCTTAGATAATCAGAAATCATCTTCCTATCTGCTTTGTTTAGCTATTTTGAGAAGGAATTTTAATTTTGTAAAGAGGTTTTCCTCGACCCAGCATGGTACGGATGCTGTTGGTGCATGCAGCTCAGAATTAAGGGTGTTAGACATTGTTTGATTCCAGTTCAAGGGGGACTGAGGAGGAACACAATACTAAGGTGCTTAAGTGCACCACTGAACGTCTTAATCTGTTGATGTATTGTTAATGATTGGTCTGACTGACTAAGACAAATATCAGGAGATTCTGAACGGATCAGCTCATTTGCTAGCAGTGAGGTGCAGTTATTTCTTCTGTCATGGATAAATTCAGCATCACTTTTATATACCCAACTCTTATCACCCAATTTTACTGTTGATTTCAGGCAATCATTTCCAAAAGCACTACTTTGTACGAAATCCATATCACTCTCAGAAACTGTTTGATAATGTATTACTAACAGTACATAATTAAAATATTCCCCCCCTACATTTCCCATAAGAATTATGACAATAATCTAGAATTTAATTAATGATATTTAGCTTATAATATGGGGGTTATATGATAAATTTAGCTGTAACCAGAAGTACTATATAACAGTAACTTGTTCTGAAGAGCTTATACTGTCAAACTTGGATCAAGTCACCATTATAATAATGTAATTTATGTAAATATTCATACTACACTAACCTTCTTTTAAATTCTAAACTTTACAAAGTAATCATTTTTTTTAAAGTACAGTAAAAGTCAGCTTGTGAAAAACGGAGAAAAAATAACGGGGCTTTTAAAAAGTCTGCATTTCCCACATGTGTGAGAAGATATGAATTATTTCTGGTTTAGCCTGATCCAGTCCCCTACATATTAGTAAGCTACTGAAATATTAACCATATGAAGTACAATGCGTCAGAAGTTAGGGAATTCTGAAGTATTCTGTTTTTAGTGGAAATGAAGATTTTGCTTCCATCACTTTCATAATTTAACTTTTTCATGCAAGATTTGTTTTGCCCCTCTTTGAAGAAGAGAGGGAATATTACTTTGCTGCTGTCTGTCAATCTGTCTGTTTGTTGGCCTGTCTGTGAGTCCACCATCAGTTTTCTTTCATTTTCTTTGCAGAAGTTGCACATATTGAAATGAAATTGATATACAGATTTATCATAAGAATATTTAGATCAAGTTGTGTTTTGGGTATGATCGGGCAATTTTGGACAGAATTATGCCCCTTGAACTTAGAAACATTCCATTTATTTGCAGTTTCCATTCATTTTCTTGGCAGAGGTTGCACATTTGGTATACAGATTTTAAAAATAGCTAGGTCAAGTTCTGTTTGGATATGATCGGACCATTTTGGACAGAGTTATGCCCCTTGGACTTGGAAAAACTCCAATTATTTGCAGTTTCCATGCATTTTCTTCAGAGGTTTCACATACTGAAATGAAAATCAGTTTACAGATTTATCATAAAAATATCTAGGTGAAGTTCTGTTTTGGGTACAATCAGGCCATTTTTGACAGAGTTATGTCCCTTGGACTTAGAAAAATTCCAGTTATTTGGGGGGGAGGGGGCATAAGTGTTTTACAAACATCTCTTGTTTAATTAAGCACAAGTACTGTGATTTAGACTTATGATCAACTGATACAGAGTGTCAAGTAACATACTGCAGTACTTATAACTATAGGCACTGCAGTATTATTTATAGCCATAGGTACCAAGAGAAGTACAAAGTACATATGAAGTACTTATAATATAGTTGTGATATTATAAAGGACAGACTTTGTCATACACATCTGATGATGACAGGCTTGTCTAGACTACTGAGATAACTTTGGGTCAGATTATCTAGGTTATTATTATATACAGCTGATGAGAGAGAGAGAGAGCTGGTGGACTTTCATACCACAGTGTGTATCACCCCCCATACCTCACTAGGGGAAAGTTTTACATTTTAAACCATTTTATTTGCAAATACATGTACAATGTATACTATAACCACAACTTGCATTGAGATCATAGACACTTTCAAGATTAGGTTAATTAATGTGGGTCATGAACATTTATTTTAGAAAAGTAATTGCACATATGTTCTTCTAAAGACATGGATTTAGTTTAACAATGTAAAGATCTTAGCTCTATTTTCATGATTTTTAACATTCCTAATTTCAGTAGGGTAAAAATAGACAAAAAAGAAATACTTATGTTATTTTTACATGTAGTGGGTTTTAATAAATGGTTCTTATTTTAGGAAGTTTAATTTAATGATGTTATTTTTGGTACATTTTAATTATTGGATGTTATTTTGGGTAGATTTTAATTCTTGGATATTATTTTAAGTTGGTGCCAGAAATCTGCGTGTTCCTGCGGAGACAGTACCACTCTCAGATCCAATCTCTGCCACAAGGATGTTGTGTGGCGCCCTCATCATGCCAACCATTGCCACCATCATGGGGAAAATCATGCTTGGATCTGTCCACTCCAACTTCCAGCGCACACTACTGGTAGATAGATACACTCAATCAAAAAAAGATACCAGTAAAACATTAGAAACACAGTCCAAAATTCTACATTCTAAAAGTTAAAAAGAAAAAATCGACATTTCATTTTCTTTCAATAACATTCTTTCTGAAGTACATTGCTGTATCAGAGTTGAAACAAATGTCATTTACTAACAAAGGCAGAATATGTTAAGCACATTCATAACACTCCGAAATCAATTTGTTTTAGTACAACATGAAATTTCACTATCCATTAATGAAAAAAAAGTAAATTATCAATTTTTCTTTTCTAGGGTGGTGTAGCTTTCACAATACTTAAAGGAGCACTGAAGATTTACTATAAACAACAGCAGTATCTACGCCAGGCAAATCGCGTTATCAAAGACTACCCTACCGAGGAAAACACGGCATCGTCTGTGTGACTATAGATAGTAATACATGTATGCGTGGACTTATCTGGACCTAACATTGCCAACAGAAAAAAACAACAAATCAAACAAAAAGAAAAACATTTAACTAGTGTTTAGAAGTTTATCCCAACAGTTTCATTGTAAACTATACAGTATACAAATAGCAAGGTCACATGATCATCTCGTACAGTAGAGAATGAGCAGAAGGGAGATAACTCTGCTGTGACGTGTCCTGTAAATCTGCACCTGGTTGATAAAGTAACGGTAGAAAGTGACAAGTATAGGTGACATTGTGATATTATGATACCATTGTCTGATATTTTCTCAGTATTTTTATAACTGTGTTAATTCATTTGTATTCACTTTTCAGACCAGTGATACTGTAATAATTTTATTTTCTCAGTATTTTCAGGATAAACTGAGTAAAGTCTTAATATGTAATTAGCTTCTTATATCAATGTCTCGTTTAATGCTAACAATTTGGCAATTCATATGTATATTTATAGATTTGTTGAAATTTTTCTAAGTGATGAAGGTCAAATGTATAAAACATACAATAATATGTTGCCTAAATTGGTGAACAACTCTGAATATTGTAAATTAAACTAGCATCACTTTTGATCATGACTGGCAACCACGTCTTAATTAATTTTTGATTGGGACATAAATCTAGCAAAAATTTCCTTAGGTCTATAATTCTAATTTTAGAAATTCAAATTAATACAATAGACTATGTTATTCTTATTCTTGCATCTCTGTAATGCTGTGTTTAATAAGGACTTTCACAAATGTGAACAGTCAAGAAAAATGGAAAGGTTAAAAAAAAACTTTGCTTGCTAGGTTTGTTATAACTAATAATTATTGAATCATATAATTTACAATTATTGTTGTTTTTGAAGTCAATATGATGGTTTAGGCTTTCTCTTAGAACAATATTCACCTCGACCTTTTGGCTTGGTGAATATTGTATTCCCCAGGAGGCTAACCATTTTTTTTTTCTATTTTAAAATATGTTATTTAATTTGTATGATCTGTCAAGAGAAGCATATAGGGGAAAACAATGGGAAGGGAACTGAATAGAATGTAAGAGCTACAGTCGACTTGAGATGTGTTAGATTTTAATAACACAAAGTTTCTTTAAGTGTGACCCAAAGAAGAGTAAAAAAAAGGGGGAGGGCACTTTAAACCTCATTTCTATAGCCCCACTTTGAACATTATTACTCAGGTTAGCTCATTTAGTTCATATGTATCATGTTCATTATAATAAAATTAATTTAATTTTAAATTTGCCTTTTGTTCATATATAGTTTGATGAGTACTTACATAAAGATACTTAGTTGCTACTATTTTTAGTGATTTTGCTGTTACAAAGGAAAGTTTTATCATTTTAACAATAGAATTTTCTGTCTAAATTCTGGAATAGAAACATAGCTCATGAAGCATTAGTTTTGTGACATTTTTGTCATGCTTTTGCTTGTAATCAAAAGAAGTGTGTGAATTTATGAAAACTGTAATCATTGTAAATTGTAAGAGAGCGAACTGGGGTTTTTGTGTTTTAAAAACAGTCAAGTAGAAAAATTTGACTTTTACACCAGGTATAACCTACACTGACATCCGTGCACATGTTAAGTGTCAGGATTTACAGTCTGGGTATATTTATGGACCATCTCAGAATACAATTACATTAGATGGAATAGTACTGGGAACCTCAGTTGGTCCTCTTAAGGTTCGTGTCATAATGTCAAACAGAAAAGTGTGTATATTTATTACATATCTGAATCTATAGCAAGATTTATATGCCACATCAAGCAATAACTTATTCAATGGTTATGATAGATTTTTTAAAAAAGTTGGATCTTAGGTGACATTGCTATGGTGAGCTGGCAGCAAATAGAGTTCTTCTCTAACTATACAATGCTGCATCAATGTTTATATGAAATCTGCTTATTTTCAATAAACAGTTAAATTATAATGAGATCTTTTTCTGAATTGTGGTATGAGATTTTTCAATTCAAAAGAGCAATTGATCTATACATGTATGTACATGCCTAGGTATTTTGAGTAGAACCCCGCCATGACACAAGCATATGTCTGTATTTCAAGGAAATTTTACAAGGCAGGGTTAGTTCTTAAGTACTGTAAAATCACTAACTTTCATGGGGGTTAATTATTGTTGTTTTTTGAGGTATGGAAAGACCCATGAATTTATGTCCACCACGAAATGTAATATTTTATATGCATTACTACTTAACCTTGTCCAACAATAAAATCAAATTCCCACAAACCAATATTCTTTTTCCCTTTAAACCTCGAAAATTTGACCCTAGGAAAATATGTGATTTTACAGTTATTGTAGCTGCTGCAAGTTCATCCGCAACAAATGTGCAAGGATGATGTTTCTGTGGATGCAATCTGGAAGTCTTACTTTCTCGTAGAAGATAAAGGCTGTCTGGCTTGCAAGTGAATCAATGGGGATTTGGTCAGTGGAAAACAAAACTGATACAGACATAGAGCTGGCTGGTGGACAGTGTCATTAGAAAAATGTTGGACCTAAAATCATCAAACATTGACTCCTGATCATTGCATGAAATTCATGTGTCAATACCAAAATAGTTCACTTTAACCACAATTTCGCTATTTATAGTACGAGCTTGTTCTGATTGGGTCTTTCAGTATGTGATTAAGAAACATCTGATCTGTCCACAATTCATTGATGTCTTCAGACATAGTGCATCTGAAGTAATTGATAATCACCAGTTTTTCTTATGGGGGTATCATATGCCACCTAAGGTGTACTGTTTATAAACAAGAAGTCCATGGATCACAATGCTCATCTGAGTCACTTTGACCCAGCTGTTCTGCATCAGATCCCCCCCCCCCAATATAAATGTATTCCTGTGTAATATTTTGATTGCTTTTTGCTGATCCCTCTATACACAAGACAGTGGATGCTCACACATTCATAAAGGAAAAATCTTTTTTAACTCCTCTTTTCAGGAACACCAAAGCCAATGTGGAATTCCAGTGGTTAATATGAAAAAAAAAATTCATCTCATTTTCAGCAGGTAGAGTTCATTCATTGGTAGGCAAATAAGACTGGAACATAAATGCGAAGAAAAAGACACAAATATCTGTTTTTCTGTTTATTTCCACCATTCCGTAGACTACATGTGTACTCGGACGTGATCAACTACAACATCCAGATAAGCAAAGAACACATGTACAGCCCCCTCTCTCTCTCTCTCTCTCACGCAGTCATATGTCGGTGAAAACTTGCAGATCATTTCTCATGTAATGCCAGGAGGCATTCTCATCATTCGCAATCAATAAATAATTTACATGGAATTTCTTAGTAAACATAAAATGAACAGGATATAATTTTCAAATCAAACGTAGATAATCCTTTATATTACTTTGATTTGTTTTCGATTAAACTGCCATTGTCATAACAAAATCTGTTAAAAGTAAAGACAGAATTGACTTCATTATTAAATTAATGTCTAACAGTTTCACGAATGACAAATTTAAAATGTAAATAAGCAGAACTTTAGCATTAAGAAAAAAATATCACGCTGAACCATAAAAATGGGCCCTAACACAACAGGAAAATTTTAGTTAACACATAACCAGGTGTCCAGTACACGACAAAAACATTAATAATATGTCATTAAAATATGACCCCATTGCAAGGAAACATATATAAACAACATAGTAGATCAGAATGATATATTTCTAAGGACCATTTAAAACAGTTTCTCAAAAAGAAAATAACTTTTGAAAAATTCTATTTATTAATACTTCTAATTTCTAATTATAACAAAAACGAGACACTTTTTGAACATGACTTTACAGTTTACATTTCCTTTCCAGTCTGTTTCAATACACTAGTATGTTTGATAAATGTTGATTCCAATTTAATAATGCATCTTTTTGAGTTTGTAAAAACATCAAAAAAAATAGATAATCCATGAGTGGAATGCATAATAAAATTCACGGAAAAAAATCACATCATTTATCACAATTAAGATATGTAAACAACATCATATTACTCACCATTTCAAGTGCAACTCCCTCTCTCCCTTCTCTCTCTCTCTCACATTCACAAACATTAGATATCAATAATCAATAAAATCAATAAATTATCAGTATTTACAGTGTTTGATTATATATAGAATTTTGTACAGGACTTTGGTAGAACTGGCCACCTGACAAACACAGGATTGTGAATGCTTTGCTGGCTGCTATCAAATCAATGACTATGATGAAAAAATTGAGGACAAGACTGAATATAAGGGCTTATAAAAAATCAAGCATCTCTCAACAGATAGTAAATACATAGAACGGGCTCAAACATTACAGATCATTACTACATGATATTACTTCGAGTTTAATTTTAGTAAATCCTATTTGTTTTTCATAATTAAGTACCATACAAATAATTGTGAAAATGGTGACAAAGCCATCAACGAGTCAAAAAACAAATCTCTATGTACAACAGACAGCAAAAGTTAATTGTTATTTACATATTATACAACAATCATACTTTGAAATGTTGTGAGGAAGTATTTACAAATAAAAAACAAAATAAAATGGGAAAAATATCACAGAAAAATAGGATTATGGAGATGACATGGGGACGATGATAATGGTAAAATGTGTTGAGGGTGGTCGTATCAAATGCCACTTAAACGTAACAAGAATCAATCGACTTCTGAACCTTACAATCCATGTCTAGACTGACTAAAAGTACAAGAAACTGATAGCACTTATGGTAACTTAGAGTGTTAAAGTTTGTCAATTCTAAAAAATACATCTAAAACATGACTGAAATAATGAGCATTGTGAAAAATCAAGATCAAATGACTAGTGAGAATTTGACTCATCTCTAGAAAACAACCATGCTCATTCAGATACACAATTAGGGCGAATTTGTTGCACATAAACTGGCTGAGGTTTTAGTTTAAGGTTTAAAACTAGTTTTTCAAACTGGTTTAAATTTCAATCCGGTTTACCTCGGTAAAACAAATGAACAGTTTATACAAGATGGCGTTATGCAAATCAATTTGTTAAAATCTTTTTTGTAATAAAAGAATCTAAGAAATTATGACGTTTTTATATTCTTTGATTATCTTACTTATAGTTAAATTGCAGTATTTATATTTTTAATGTCTCAAAGATTAATCAAATGAACAATTTCCACATTTTTAACACATGGAAATACAAAAACCCCGAGTATTTATAATTGCTCTTTAGATTCCCAATACTTAAGCTGTCTTTACAGTATGTTCTACAATTTACCATACATGTTGAAGTTTGTCCAAATGATTCAAAACTTATTTTTGAAAAGGAAAATCTAACATATTCTGTTCATTATTATTGAACAAACACCATTATTTTCAATATGCAGCATTTATCTATTCTCTGAAGCCTTATATATAAAACATCAAATATCAGAATGTGGCATTTAGTCAACAATTATTTATATCTGTTTTTCTTTATTAAAATAGTCACCATCTTTCATCACCGCCATACTGGAATACTTCCCGCTCTTTCGTAAACTGAATAAACCACCATCGGAGGTGGTTTGGTTGGTTTAACGAACTGATTTCAGTTACAGCCAAAACAAATGGAAAACCGGTTCTGGGTTTAAACTAGTTTAAAACTAGTTTGTGGAACAAATGAACAGTTTACAAAACCGGTTCAAAACTAAACCCAGTTTTTGAAAAACAAATTCGCCCTTAATGTTTCAGACACAAGTCCGAATCCATTTAAAGAAAAAATAAAGGAAATAAAGACTGTCCTACACTGGAATATGTCTTTGTAACAAATTTTAAAATCTTTAAATATATTACACAATATACACTATCAGTAAGTAATTATTTGTAAGTAAAACTGCATTGTTGAAACTGATGAAAAAAGTATGTTTTTTTGTTGTAATTTCACATTAGCACCTTGATTTTTTTGTAAGATTCATGAAGGAAGGTTGAATAATAACCTCTCCCTTTCAGTCACACACAATAATCACTCCCTGTGAACACAAGGGTGGATCCCTGGGGAGTGTTCCGGATACTAGACACACATATCCTGGTTCCCAGGAAACAACACTTTTTTATGTTTACTTTTGTCCCCTTTTCCTCCGTGTTCTAAGCTTTGCTTTCGATGATGGCCTGAAGAAATAACAATTCAAATTCATAAGTCAGTGAAAATTTTGCAACTCATACAAGGAATAGTACGATTCACAGCTACACCCTATAGGATATTCATTGTATATTAATGAAACAGTGATTGCTGTCTAAATCTCTTTCATAGTCCAGACAAACTGTGGTCAGAACAATTGCTGTTAGCATCACTGAGGCCCAATATGGAATCTACACTTATCAAATGTTACCAGAGCATTAGCTATGGCTACCCTTGAGGCCCCACTGGGGTCTAGATGTACCAACTGTAACAAATGCACTAGTTATTGCTACCCCTGAGGCCTCGTTAGTGGTATAAACTTACCAACTGTGACCAGAGCACTAGCTATGGCTACCCCTGAGGCCCCATTAGGGGTCCACTCATCATCCCCTGTTGGTAGTTGGACTATCAGTGATATAACTGCAGCCTTCTGGTGATTTAATGGCTCATATGCAATCTGACTGGGTTTTGTATTAGTCTGAAAAGGACAACCAAAAAAGTAAATGTAATTTCACCCAATAACTACTAATATATATTAATAACATACTAAAAATTTATTTTTAGTTTGTAAATTATTTGAGAAGTTCTATCCTTAATAAAAGCTAAATGTTTAATCATTAACTGAGATTTCTGACCTTTTTCCGTTTTCTGAGATCTGTTTCTTTTTTCTCTGCTCCGACTGGATCATACTTTCTGTCGATCTCCACAGTGATTGAGGAGAATGGCCGACTCGCCATTTCTTCCATCTCCACCATCATACGCTGAAAACAATGAAAATTCTGATTTAGGTACAAATTATTAGACAATTGAACCTTGGTTGCTTGAAAACTGTTATTACGAGTATACCTTCACTCTCAAACAATTACAAAATTATTTCAACCAAGGGTTATAAAGAGTAAATAAGAATCATTCATCACTCACCTGTCTGCGACGGTAGATGTCATACTTATGTTTGATTTTGTATAAAACTGCTGCTATAATTAACAGCGATAGGAAACAACTGAAATGGAAATATCAACTCATTACATGGTGTGACTTCTATCTGTTTAAGAAACTTCTGGAATGCATTACATTGAGAGGACATTTAATACCTACCCCCAGGCTGCGGTAAAATACAAAATTCTACAGAGGTTTTTCTCATTTTAATTATTCATGATACACTCAGGTAATGTGAAGTATGTCAAATTATAGAGAGTGTACTTACCTAAAAAAAGTCACAAAGAAGTGAACTAAATCTATCTTAGGAAACTGTGAGAAAGAGATCTGAAAGGAAAACAAATCTGTGTTCACCTGTGCTTGTAGAAAATTGGCATAATTTAAAATTGATGATTGACAACAATCATAGAAAAGCCTTTAAAAAATATTCTGTATCATTTAATTCAAAATTTATGTCCAACTCATATTTTTTCTTTCTTCATGTACCATATACTAATATCTGGATTTTTTTTAATCTTTTCTCATACATATTCTTTTCTATTTCTTTATCACGTGACTCAGGTACTAAAAATAGCTTTCATTTCAAAAAGTTCCAACATTGGAATTTACAAATTTGACAAACCTGTAGCCAGAATGGGGTTTTAAACCCGTAGACATAGACAAGGAATGTAGTGTTTTCTGAGGGACCAAAGGAATATTCCCCGTGATCAAACTTAGCCCTGAAGTAATTACACGAGTGTTGTTTGACGATCATCGTCTCCCGGTCACCCTGAGATTCTACAAACAGACAAACAGGCAAAGTAAACACATCATTATTTTTAAAGTAAAGCAACTGACTCTATAATTGCAATGATAATCAATTGCTTTTTAATTTAAATCCTTACTTTTCTTCATTGTTATATTTAAGTAGGCTACACCAGAGCAATTTACTTTAAAATCCACATCACGTTCACTCTGCAACATAAACAGAATACATTATAAATATTTTTAAAATCGCTATTATGAAAAAAATCATTTCAAATTCTGCACATTTTTTGGCAGATTGTTAGACATTTATCTTCATTCAGCATCGTTATCCTTACGGAGGACGGGATGTTCATGAAGTTGATCTGGGTGTACGATTTGTCCTCTGATTTAGAAAGGTTAAAGGTGAACTGGTAGTCTGTCACCAAGTTATCTGAAATTTAAATCACTTATTGTATTTATGGAAATAAATATTTAATTTCTTATAATGGACATTACAAATTATGTATTAATTAAGACATAACTGATTTACAAGTATTACGAATTGATGGAATATTATTATTACACCAGGATAAAACACAAATTATCAATGTATTTTATAAATCTTGCACAACTACAATGCTGTCTTAAAATACTCACAATAACAGGTTCCTGTTTTGGGATTTCCAAAATATTTATGGGGTTCATCACACCTAAAAATACATTCAAAATAATGCATACCTGCACATTTTGGTCTTAAATTTTTTTTTTTGGCTCTTATTCAAATTACGTATCATGTCAGTATTTTTCCTGGACTCTGAATTTAGAACTTAAGATTTCTGAACTGTATTGTCCCTCCATACTAACTTTTCACATTTATCCCCGATCACTCCCCTGGTTCTACAGTAGCACGCCCCCGACTTCCTGTCACACGAGTCCGCCTGGCCGTTACACTGACAAGCTAAAAATAAACACAAACTTTACAACTGGTGACATGGTTCATGTTTCTTGATCTTTTTATTTGTAAATCCAATGCTTCACTGTCTGGTATCCTTGTTTAGTTTGTGTTTCCTTTAATAATTTGAAACTTTTCAGGAGGAAAATCCATACATGCTTGACATATTACAATGTCTAATAGTGATACACTTACCAGAACAACTGCCTCCATTACTGGCATCACCATAGTAACCATCAACACATCTCTCACAGGACTTGCCTAAAAGGATTAAACAAGTAATGGTAATTTTGTTGTTTTCTTCACACTTTACCAGGAGTCTTATCAAACTTTATTCTTTTAGGAGAATTTAGATGAAAAGGGCATTTTCTAAAATAATTTACAAGATAAAGATGTCAGAATTACTGACATTAGTAATTCTGAATAATTCTGAACCAGACACTGTCATTACTATAGTCTTCAGATAGATCCCCCTCCCTTTGACCCTCTGTATTCAGTGTAAATTTAACTGACCCAGCCCCCTCCTATTCTCACGCCTCCAATGTCAGTTTTAATGAACCCCCTCCCATTCCTACCCACCCCCTCCCATACTTACCCTCTGTATTCAGTGTCAGTTTAACTGACCCAGCCTCCTCCCATTCTTACCCAGCCTCCTTCCATTCTTACCCCACCCCTCCCATTCTTCCTCAGCTCTCTCCCATTCTTACCTTCCGTCATGTTTTGACAACTGTCACACACTCCTGTCACATTTAGACATGTGCTATGTCCATTACACTGACAATCTAAAATGAAACAAGATTTTAAAAATTATTTTTATGACAGTTATTCTCACATTCATTTATTACAATAAACATATAGGTAACCCTTAAAAATTCAATGCATTTAAATAAGGATCTGAGACCTAGCACAAAAATCATGGAGGAGACTCAAATGAACAATTAATGAAAGATTCTAATCATTATGGTCGTCTTCTAACCTGGACAGTTGATAAAGAACCACTGACTGGCTGGACATTTGCTAAGGTCAGTGAGGTGGGGATTAGTTTGATTGACAGGTCCAGAGGCTCCGCCCTCCATACATCGACCAATCCCTGTGTTGCTAGGATCATTACACCACCCACACAGAGGGTTAGATTGACAATCTTTACAAGAGTGAAGATCAGAGCAGCGGGTTGCTATAAAGAGAAATTCAAGGTCTAATAAGAGGTGTTATTTTGAAGTGGCATTCATAATACTTGTATTCAACATATTTCTTGTACTTTCATTGCTCAGAAAATCTGTTTCTTCAAAATGAACAAAAAATTCAATGATTAACTTTAAAAAAAAAAAACTTTAATTTCTAGGTTTGACTTCCCTAAATTTACCTGGACATTTAGATTTGTCTGTGGTCCACTCCATACACTGGCCATATATAAATGTGGCCACATAGGCATTGGTTTCCACACATTTCTGCTGATTGCTGCACCACATACATTTTTGTGATGTACACGACTCACATGTGGTATTCATGTAGCAAGGCGTAGGACATGGTGTCTTCTCCGGGTTATCAAAGTCATTGAATGTATCTGAGTCAACAAAAAAAAAAACCAAGGTAAATAAATTTCATGAATGTTCAAGTGTTTTGATATTAAGGTCATACGCAATGTAGTTTGGACTTTATTGGGTTCTTCCCTGGAGTTGAAGAGTTCCACTAAATGAAGGACTTGTGTGTAATACTTTTAATGCCCTTATATAAGAATTTGTACACCTCTTCTAAAATAAATTTTGATGGAAAAAATATTTGAAAATTATGTTTTGTAATTTTTGTTTACTTTTCTTTGAATAATGCAAACATTTTCATAATTTGATATCTTTTCAAAACCCCTGGTAATGCATGCTGATTTTTTGTCTAAGAAAATGTAATGGTATTATAAATTTGAATTTAGAATATCTTGAAAAAACATCAGTAGGTAAGGTACCTTGTGTATGTCCTTAGTGAGGAATGGGATAATAAATGATTCCTAGAAACCCTCTCACAGAAGACTTATCTCTCAACTTAGAGAATTATCTCCCTGTAAAAAGATTTATCCCCCCTTCAAACTGAAACCTCTACCCATTCTTACAGTGAGTTCCAATCGTATGTGATCTTTTCTGACATTCTTTGACGGTCTGATTCCACTTGCAGGATTTGGACTGTACACACGCCACACAGTTGTGGAAGAGAGAACAGACACTGCTGTGTTTAGAGGGACAGCGGCCAATGTGGGCAGAAGTGATCTAAAAATCAGTCAAGCGGAACTAACAACACCCATGTGGGATCTTGTTAAATCCCTCGGAGGAGTAACACTGCGATCTCAGACTTTATGCTGGACAAACCCAAAGTTTTCTTTTTGTTCTAATTCAGAGGATAATTTTTACTTTTCCTCACTAACACCACAAAATAATTGTTCCAAAAAATCATGCAGAAAAACACAACATCAAAAGCAATTAAACCAAAGTAAAAGAGACAAAAACTGTGACAAAACTTAAAAGTTGGTAATATATACAAAGAAGAGAGCATATTTGATATAATAGAAGTATGAAACACTTCACTTTTTTCAGATTTGAAGAACTTTAAACCATATCACATACACATTGTACCACATACTTCCATAATTTTCTGACACACTGTACTGAAGTAATTTTAAAGACATTTTTTCATCTATCCCCCTAGTAAAACTTTTTGGACGACTTTTTTTTTAGCTTTACACTGACTAGGGTTATTGTATTTTCCTCACTGAAAAGTCAAATGTCTGAGAAATCTTAAGGCATGGCTGACAAACATCAGGTAGAGGCTTTCAGTGCATTATCTTTACGAAAACTGAAGAACTAATCATAGGAAGTTTTTGGCATATATTAGTTCCAGAGGAAAACTGAAACTTATGTCCCTTAGATTCTGACCCTTCATTTTATAAATTTAAATCCTTCTTAAATCAGGATGGTTTGTGTCAATTTAAACAGTTTTTGAAAAGGAAATATGAGGATTTATGACTATCATAAGTTTGCAGGCTGATATTTTTACAGAAAAAACCCCCAGATAAACTAAGACTTGTGATAAAATGGGTCAACTTCTGATACTGGCAAAAGTTAATCAAGAAAAATGCTGGGGTTCTAAAGAAAGAGAAAAATGATATGCAACTAAACCACTGTAAATGCACTTTTTCCCCATATGGTATATTTCCAGGAAATCATAATTTAAGCTCAATCCATGGTATAAAATTATTCAGATTACTTGATTTTCCATTTGCACAAAAAGTTTATGATCGTCTACACATACATGGAAAAAAAATGACTAAAGTAAATACAGAACAGCAAACAGAAACTGTTCTTATCTCCCATACCATATACTGACAACCAGTCACAGAGTATTACACCTTACAGTAGGTCAAGATCAAGACCTATTGTAAAGAAGAAATTGGGCCAAAAATTCATTCTTATATCTTCAGGTCAAATAAACCTACATATTTGAAATTAACCAATTGTGAAGACTCAATCCAGAAGCAAAATTAGCCATAGAAAAAAATGATTGATAAGAGGTTTTTCAAAGTTTCATAATTATTTTCAAGGGTTTACAAAACTAATAATTTACAAAAGAAAACTAGGTTTCAATAATTATTCTAAAGGATAGTGAAACACAGTAGAATTATTTTAATTTGTAAAATTTGATTGCCCAATGCTAGTGGACAATCAAAATTTTACTTGTTTGTGGGTTACTCATTTACCAGTAAATTCAGTGAATCAATATATTTACAACATAGGGATATAAATTCGTGGGTAAGGATGGCCCCACCAAATCCACAAACTTTGGTTCCGCACCAACATTAATGATCCACACAGATAAAAATTGGTCCTTTAGAATACTAACCGGTGTCATTTTTCTCATTTTTTGGTTGGTCATTTTTGGTACATCCACTAGCCCCCCACAGGCAGTCAGGGAAGGAGTTACACCCCTGACATTTGTGTTGTTCCGCGCAGGGTGGTTCTCCCTGAATGGGGCACTGGGAAAGGTCGCTGGCTGACTCAGGTTTCTATAGAAACAATAAAAAAAAGAAAAAGCAACCCAAAAAACAAAAATACAGCCACACAAACTCAACATGCTCAAATGTGCAACAACAAAATAACATACAGCTAATGAAGCAAGATATATGTTTTCAAGGCTATGGGGGGTATCTAAATGGTGTTCTGTTTGGAGGGAGCTTTATTTGATGCAAATGAAGAATAACAAGTTAAATAAAGATTGACAAAGTTGTAAAATTTTAAAAGGTGCTGGTTTCCTTTTGATGAAAAAAGTTCATGTGCAGTACATTGCTTTTTTAAATGGATGTATGGAGACAGGTTTTCCCCCTTGACTGTAAAGTAGTGAAGTTTCGGTGTGTATATAATTTTATAAATAAGTACATGTACAACATAAAGCTAGGCTGAGTGTTACTCCTCTCAAGTCAGGGATCATAGTCCATAATGTTATTTACAATTTCACAAGTCATAATAATTGGCATTTTTCTTTCTGGTACCCAGTAGATAACTTATAAAATATCAATAGTAAAACATTGGTTTCATATACACTTAGATCATTTTTAGAAAACTTAAAATTGTCAAATATAAAAAATTAAATTTTAGCCTCTATGATAATTATTTCAATTGTGTATATATAATTTCCTACCATCTGATTGGTGTTGGTACACTGGTCCGCCGCAGTGCAGTTATGAACACACCACACACAGTTGTAGGCGGTGGACAGACAGGTGGGGCACGTCGTGAAGGAACCACATTGCTTATCACCACCTATATACAGTATACAGCCACAATATATATTGTACATTATCATCACCTGCATTAACATTGATTTAAACCTTTTCTAGCAAAAGAGTCAAATGACTGACGATTGTTTGAAAACCAACTTTTTATTACTGATTTATTTGTCCATGAATTCATACACTTTTATTAAGTACAAAACAATATCACTATACATGTAAAACAAGACATCATTATGCAAACTGAAGTTCCTGAAACTATAAAAAAAAATTTACCCAGAAAGTTGTTATAAAATTTCCTCTTTCATAAGAGAAATTTTTCCGCAGCCCTTCTGCCCGATAATATCATCCCTAATTTGTTCTGCCCATTAATATCATCCGACGTTTTTAATAAATTTGTTACTTACCCTCTGTGGGATCGCACTGTTTCTCCTCGGCGCCGCCAGCATTGGGGTCAGACAAGGAGACACACAGTCCCCCCGCCCACACACATGACCTTCCCTGTACCGACCCCAGACAGTCCTCTCTTGTCGTGTAATAGGAGCAGTTCCCTGCAGTACAAAAGTACAGCTGAACTAAACTTCGAGGATACAGGTGAATAAAACTTAATTAAAGAAGTACAAGTGAAAATCCCATAATTTTCTGGAGGCACTCTCGAAAGAATGTTTCAAGTACTTATGTTATATATATATGATTTTTCAATGACTTTCATTTGATTCTATTTCTGGTGTTTACTGTACACTGTGGTTTACCTGGAGATAGAAGAAGAGCATTAGGTTCCATGATTCCACTGAATCCTCCCAGGACCAGCATCTCAGTCCTACCATTCCTACAATCAATAGACAAGTGTCTTAAATTCAAATTTCAGCAATATAAGCAGGGAAGCTAATTCCAATAGTGATAACAATGTAGTCCTTGGGATTAAATCTTGAGTTTTACTTCTACACTGACCTGTGGACTGTGACTGCTGAGTGACCATAACGAGCCCCATGTGACGCCAGGACAGAGGAGTTAAGCTGGGACCATGTGTTACACTCTGAAGTAAGAAAGTTAACACTTTACAACTTACAAAATTGTTATGAAAAATAAACTGAATCCTCACGTCATAGAAATATTACGTTACCATTTCCCCGCAAGCACTTTATAGCAGGGTACAAGTTTATCTAAAGTTTAGCGTAAATAATATCATGACGTATTATTTTAATTAGAAAATTTTTTTTTTTATTTTATGAGATTAAGCAAGTATGAAATAGTTGGAATTTGACAATAAATTAAAGATTTAATGAACCTTTTAAAGTGCGTGAAAATGCGTGATTGCGGGGAAACGGTAAATGCGTGCAGAATAGTAAGTGGTATATGCGATATAGGGGGTTAATGTGTATAATGTGTCTAAAAGTAAAAGTAATTTATTTATTCAATCCTTGATGTCCATATGACTTACAATGAGTTAATATCACTAGTGCAGAAAGTAATGATGATATAATAAAAAATGCAGAATAAAGTATTTAATACAAAGTAATTTATTTATTCCTTGACGTCCCTATGACTTACTGATGTCATACTGTAATACGTCTGGGGAGTAACACTTGGCTCCGAGGCTGATAGACGTGTCGTTATGGGTGTTCCCACCAAACACAATCATCATTCCGTCAATAATAACCGCCGAGTGTAGGTAACGGGGAAGCTGGTTACGACGTAATTTTATCCTGTTTTAAAATACAATATTTTAAAAATTAGTCATCATACTGGGACACGATATAAAGCACTGAAATTTGCAAAACGAATGACCAATTTTGTAAACCCTCCTCCTCAAAAAGAAACCTGACTCACCAGGTTCTTGTAGCAGGTTCAAACGAGTACAGCTGGTCAGTGAGGTCGTAGTTTGAGGTGCTGCGGGCGTGATATCCACCGTAGATATAGATCTTATCCAGGGCGGGGTAGTACACACTAGAGTGACCGTAACCTCCCTGGACCAGCGCCCCTCGTGTCCGGGGAACGCTCCAGCTCTCATTGGCTACAATTAATTTTAATAAATTAATATTCTATATACAAGAAAGAAACCTATAAACAGTGTTAACCAAATTTACACTGACAAATATACATGTAGTTATCATCATGAATTAGATGCCATTTACAAAAGTTTATAACAGATATTTTACAATGCTCCCATAAGTTTCAAACAAGAGAAAATCAACGGTCACTTTAAGGTGCCCTTATCAACATTCAACTTCTACATATGAACAGGTGCACTCCCCAAACACATACATGAATAACCGGTTTGGAAGATGAGCTAAGTTTTATAACTCAATTCCACACTAACGATGAAATATTTTCAAAACATTGTATGTTAGATTTTGAACCCAATTTACAAGGTATGTCCCCCTGCACACATACACACGTCCACACACACAGACAGAGGTATCTGAACCTCATTACTGCCTACCTATGTTGTACTCCTGGATCCTGTTCTGGTAGCCGTAGATTGGACTATAACCAAAGAGGACATACATGACGCCCCTGACAATGTGAGCTGTGTGGCCTGCCACCCCCATTGGTATGGGTACAGTACTGTTGTAATGCTGTATGGACCACACCAGGGTTGTCGTGTTAAATATCCACAGATCGCGGGACGTCACATTTCCCTCCACTCCCCCAAATACGTACAACTTGTTCTGTAAATGTAGGTACATTACATCAAAGGGATTCTTTATCTTCCTGTTCAACCAAGAAACTGTTCATTTCTACTAACTTATCAAAAACCTTCAATCAAAACTACAGCTGTAAACAATTACTGTATAAGTAGAATGTTTAGCAAATTTAATTTTGGCATTATTAGTGAGGGTTCTGACATCGCTAAAATTGAATATCGCAAAAAATTAATTACGTATTATTTGTAATAGCTTCTTTAGTTATCATTTTAAAATCGCTAAAATTACTGTTCTCGCTAAAAATAAAATACCAGATTTTAGGTAGAAATTGCTAAATATGCATCTTGCTAATATTTCCACTTATACGGTAAAACAATTTCCTAGCAAACTTGTATTTACATGTAACTAAATTCTGCAAATTCAAAACAGATGAAACATAAAAATCTACATTAATTTCTGTAAGGAAAAGAGATGTTACAGAGACTAATTTGTCAAATGTTTTGTGTTGAGAGACCTAACTATGAACAACATACCTGGTATGCCACCACTGAGATTTGTCCATACCGAAGGAGGGGGGCTAGATAAATATCCTCCCCGATGACTGACAACCTCTAAATCTTTGGAGGATGTTTTATACCTGTAACAGGAAGAACTAGAACTGCCAGGAGGCCTTATCAGCTGTCAAACTGCAGTAGGTGCCAATTCACAAATATTTTATGGATCTATTAACAGGTGTTCACTATTGTCTTAAAACAAATCGAGTGAAAATATAATTGCAGTGAAAATATAATTGCATGCTCATTAATTTTTTTCAATTTATGAATCTAAGGTGCAACCAAATAAAACATCTTACTAATACACTGTAACGTTTTTTTTTTTAATTTCATTATATAAAACGTATTTCTAAGTTTGAAATTATTTGTCATGCTACAATTTCATGAAAAATAATTGTTGAAATAAAGAAAAGAAATATTATACAGAATCAAATTGAAAAAAAAATCTTTATATACTTTATATTAAATTCATTGTTAAAAATAATAAAGTACCATAATTACAGCAAACTTTGCATTATTTAAAGCAGAGATCATCAAAATAATATCATATTCGGTGTACTTTTACAACTACCGCTTTCTTGGCGAAGCTGTGACTAAATGATTTTTATTAAACAGAGAACAAAATCATTAAAACAGTTCATATTAAAATTAGTTTATTTAATTCTTATTTAATTACATGTTTTTGCCTTTGCATGCTTTACAACAGAGATAGCGAAAACCAATTAGCCACGCTTTGAAAGCATGCACCTGTGGTATGAAAGACACTTAAAAATGGACATGAAAAATGGTGGCATTATATTTGGCGTTATAAAGAGAATTTTATATAGCAGGAAAAACGTTCTTGGGAAATCATGGCGGTATTGCGAAAATGGCGATGAATCGAATGGCGATAATTCGAGAATTGACTGTATATCTAAAAAACTGCTTTATATGTTTTACATACCATGTGCATGATGATACATACAATGTACATGTATGTGCTTTGTGAACAATTTGTTATTATTCTGATATTGTTAATATTTTTTTTTAATATATCCAGTTACAGTGTATTGAATTTGACATGTTTTAAGCAAGATGCTATATGGCATTCACAATTTTGAAAACTTGATCATCATAACAAATTGAGTTTTAGCTTGGAAATATACGCAGGGTAGGCCATCAAATGACATAATGTAATATTCATCAAAACAGTAGTGCCCCTAACCATTTGCTAACACTCTGACATAAACCCCTGTCTAATTCACAAATTTTTAAAAGGACCTTAAAATTGCCTATCAAAAAGTTTTATAAATGCAGCTAGATTTCAAACAATTAATCATTTTGAGACACCCCACCCCTTTGGGGCCTTGAAATTACATTGAACTCATTAATTAATCTTTGACTGACAGAGAAGAAAATTTTCAAAGATTTAATGTATTTTCACTATATAATCAATAGAGCCCCACCCTAACATGAACCCCAGACCCTGGGGATGAAATTTTCTGTTATCAAAATTCTCATCATAACTATGCACTTAGTTAGTTTATTTAATACCTTAGGAGAGGAAGAAGATTATCAAAGAATTCTGTATTTTCAAAATAACACTTGATATGGATTGCTGACATAAAGTATATAATGAAAAAATATGTTTTTATTTTATTTAATACCTAGTAGAAGATAATAAGTTTTTCAATGAATTATTTTCACTTTACAATCAATAAAGCCCCCCCCCCCCCACCCAGAACAATTGACGCTGGGGCCATAAAATTCACAATTTTTTGGGATTGTGTATAACTATGCACTTAGTTTATTTAATAAGAGAGAAGAAGATTTTCAAAGAATTTTAAAATTTCACACCAGAACCCTTGAAGATAGGGCCATTAAATTCACAATTTTGGTCATGACACACCTCATCATAACTATGCACTTAGTTAGTTTATATAATACCTAGGAGCAGAGAAGAAGATTTTCAAGGAATGATTTTCACTATATAAATAGAACCCTTTTCATAAAATTCACAATGGTTGAGGAAACAAAACTTAGTTAGTTTAAATATAGGAGCAGAGAAAAGAAAAAGAATTCATGTAAAAATATAAGAAAAATTACCCAATCATGATGAAAACACCAGGTGCACAACTTCATATGGTTATATAATAAGTGAGCAGAGAAGAAGATTTTCAAAGAATTCAAATCCATCCAAACATAGTTTCTGGGGCCATAAAAGTCACAATTTTGGTACAAAATCTTGCTCATCATAACTATGACAGTTGGTTTATTTAATACCCAGGAGCAGAGAAGAAGATTTTCAAAGAAATAATGCATTTTCACTATATACTTATTTAGCCCCATCCTAGCACTAAACTGACCCCAGGGCCATGAATTTCACAATTTTGGGGGTCAATGCTGATTACAATCATGCAAATAGTTTGACTGCTTGATGTCCAGGAGTAAAGAAGATTTTTAAAGATTGCATTAATTTGAGTGGTTTTGGCCCCACCCCTAAGGAATCATTCACAATTTTTGTTCCCCTTCACCCATAGATGCTTTGTGCCAAATTTGGTTGAATTTGGTTCAGTGGTTGCAGAGGACTGAAAATGTTCAAATGTTAACACACTAGTACATTTGCTCTACTTACTTAACAAGGAATTCCTGAGATTTGTTCATATGAATGGCAGTTCAGCACTTCTGTGTTTTACGACTAATTATTTTTGCCATGACAGAGTTCTTGAAATCTTTCGGTCCTGTCGGCAAGACCGATAGAAACAACCAAGGACCGATAACTTTACGTTCTGTGTCAGTCCAAATGACCATTATATATGTTGAAAGAGCAACTTCTGAAAATCCGACTAAATTTCGAACGAATTCCCTATAACCGACTAATCATAATTTGTTAAACGCCATCTCGATGGCTTCTTATCAGTACCAAACTATGATTGATTAACTGTTAAAACAAGTTTTTTGATGGTGCTCCTGCGAGAAAATTCAATTGGATTAAAAATCTACAAAAATTGTTATACTTTATATGTGCAGTTTATATACCATGTGCATGATATTATAAAACAAAAACAAATGTATGTTTTATTGAAAAATTAAGATGGACAAACCATGGCAATTATTCTGCATTTCTTATTGTTAGGAACTGAATTACATTCATTTCATTTATTGTAGTTTCTATTTAAAAAAAGCCAAACATCTGTTACCCTTCCAACATTAACAAAGATAAGACGGAATACATCAATAACAAACCTGTGAATCCTGCGTAACACTGACAGTGGATGTTGACAGTAAATAACAAACCTGTGAATCCAGTGTGACACTGACAGTGGTTATTGACACAGTCCCCATTGAGGGAGCAGTTACTGGGACAGATGAAATCACCACAATCCTCCCCTTGGTACCCCGCGTAACAAACACAAACATCCCCCGAGCAGTCCCCCTGCCCGGAGCAGTTCTTAGGGCAACCACCAGTCCTATAGATTAAAAAAAATCAGTTATGTATCATAATGATTGGAAATTTTAACACTTTGTTAATAAATCAAGATTTTGTCAGACTTTTGTCAAATTAAATAATTGTTCAATAATTAGAAATGCAATGTTTCATAAACTTATTCCTATAGTATAAATTCTGGACAGTGATTATTTTGTGTCCATAGTTTCTTTGTTGTTGTAGTGGTGTTGGAGGGGGAGAGGGCCTCCTACAGAGAGGCATTAATTTAAGGGGGAAATGAAGCAAACCTGACAATCTTGAGAGTGTATATACCTGTAGGTAATATTGAACCCTGACATGTTGTACGCTGCATCGCTGTAGAAGTACAGGTAAGCCTTGCCTGAGCTGGTGCGGATCTCTTGTAATTCAGTGGTGGACGTGTAATCCTTATGTATTAGACCACTACAATGATAATTCAATAAGAAATATATAGAATGGTAAAAAATCTTTTATAAGTCATACATCCCTTATCTTTGGCACAAAAAATTATACTAAAAAGCTTTTTATTCCCTTTTTAAACAAGGAAACAAAATTTAAAAAAACTTTAATAGTTCCATTACCTGAAAGCTGCCAGTAATGGAGAGAATGCGGAGTCTCCATCGTAGATATAGAGGTGGTCCCAGCCACACTCGGTGGAGAACTGATGGAACTGGAACCACAAGGAGGTGTTCTCCCGCCCCGTGTCCACCAGCCACGTACACTTATTGTCCTCCGAGTAATTACCGTGACCATCCGAGATTATCCCATCCGTATTTTGTAATCTACAAATAGAAGATTTGAAAAATACAAAAAAACTATAATTATGAGAAATACAAGTAAGAGTGTAAAAAACTTTACATCAAAAAAAAAAAAAATTATTTATCATCATCTGTTGGTAATAAATTAACTAACATCATTAAATATAGGAACTCTTAATGATCCCAAACTGTAAATTTATATCTTGGCACTATTGATGACTATTCACTCAATATACAGAGTGTAATGGTAATCATAAAAGCTGACAGTACAAATAAAAATCTTCTCAGGTAAACTCATGATGAAAAACTTCATAATAAAACCTGAAAATCAATATTGCTTGACAGAGGTCTACACTGAATTATTCAGTCCTGATCCAATAAAACAGACCATGTTAACTTAATCACTGAGACAAATACTATTTGTCCTTAAACAGCTAAATAATGACAGCTATGAAAAACAGCCATCTGGAGAGTTTTATCAGAGAATTTACAATGTTATAAATGTCATGTCATTTACACAACCTGATGTTCAGTTTTATTGGAGGAATAAAAAATTGTCCTGAATTTCAAGTTTAAGTAAAAATTTGATTAAAAATTCAATTAAAAAAAGGAGCTGCTTTCCTCAATTGTAAGAAGAATTTAAGTGTGTGGTGCTATTTTTCCTTGTTCTTTGTTGATCGTTTATTACCCTGTTGATTTCAATAAATAAGAGATGTATTAGATAACAGGTAGTATATTTCCCTGTTACCCTTGTTCTTATGGCAATGATAAGATCAATCTTTATGGTCAGGAATATTACCATTAAATGTTGTACACATTTAAACGAGAATAAAGTGTTGACAGATATACTTTTACTGACATTCCAGAAAAATGTTGACATATTTCAGTAAAATATGGAGATAATAAGCAAAACTCAAGCTCCAATGTCAGGGCTTTCACATCCTTTTTGATACAGGGCCAGGGTGACTTTTTGAGAATTTGGGGAGAATCAACATAATATATTATTACAAAATTATTACATTGTTTATTTTAAACATTTACATTCTGAAACATGCAGAAGGTTGAGTAGTAGGTTAATTTACCATGTTTATTTTTTATCCAAAATATTATTTTTTAAATTTTAATGGATAATGACTATTGGAGAGTTATTGCATTCAATTGGAAAAAAATGTCCAGGGCTCTCGATTCTCTAAATCTGGGGCCGATATTCGGCCCCGTTCCCAATGCAAAAAAGGTACCTTTTTTCCCAAAAGAAAGGTGTAAATTTCCAAAATTCCATAGCAAAATATTAATTAAAAAATAAAAGTCCATGAAACTTAATTGCAAAAAAAAACCCCAAAACAAAACACACTTGTAAATGAAAGTGAAACAAACTAGTTCTATGTATATAAAATTCACGCCAAGTGCATAAACTGGTTAAAACCAGGTTAGTGTTATTACAGAAATGTATAACTATGAATATACATGTTATACTATGTATAACAAAAAAACATCATTTTGGTTTCAAAAATAGACATTTCATTTAAACATTAGTAAGCTACACCTAGAAACATAGGACGATTCAGCATGTTCATTATTGTGCTGAATTTGGTAAGCAACGATGATCATGTGATTGAGGTTATGGGATTATGTTAGCGACTGTTATGACAAATAACCGCAATATCAAAGCTCAAAGACAGTTATGACAAAGCTAATGTACTTTCATAAATTGCCTTACTAATGTTTGTTCTGTTAACTGTTTATTCAAAACTAGAGTTAAATTGATGACAAAATGCTAGAAAAGGAAAATTGGAGAATTTTTTAAAATGAATGTTGGTCATCCAACTTTTCCCATAATTTTAAATTGAACGGCCCCGGCCCCAGTCCCAAAAAAATGAATGTTCAATTTAGGATTGGAATGAGGCCTTTCATAGCCAAAAATATTGAAATTGATAGCCCCAAAAGTGAAGCAATACAAAATGGGAGCAGAGCAAACATGGACCTCTAAAAACATCACAGGTGGATCAGGTGTCATAGGGGAGTAAGTATCCCCTGTTGACCGGTCACACCATCCCTGAGCCCCTTGATCATATACATGATCATATTAAATTAAAAAAAATAACATCAATATAAATGTTCTTTTTTATCATCCAGCAAACAGAATTATCTCCATAAAAATGCAAGTGAATTTTGATTAAGTGGCCTAAAAATCTATGAATTCTTCTCTTTATGCCTTTTTTTTAAAATACCTAATTATGAAGTCATTTGGTCAAAAGGTACATAACGTACCAAATCAACATCTTCAGATGTATTTTCTCTGACATCCTCTATCTGTCTTCAATTATTGCAGGATGACAGAGAGTGATAAAAACGTAGAAAAACAACATTTTGATAAACATGTGATCAATATAGGGTTTACAGTAATTTTTTCACTATTTATGAAATATAGGGTCTAGGCTGTAAATTTCAGAGACATATAAGGCAATCAAGAGCATCAAGTGCATGAAATAAATGGTTTTACACAGATGAACTTTCTTAATATTCAGTCTCTCTTTGTGGTCTTTTAAGATAAAAATGTTCAACTTCACTTTTTTTTTTACATCAGACAAGTGATATATATGTGCTGACAGTTTTTTTTTTGAAGAAGAGATAATGAAGACTTAAATATTGCATTGCAAAAAAAATTATTATAGAAGAAAATAAATAGAGACATTAATATGCTGTATTTTCTCTGTAAGAAAAAAATGTGCAATTTTTGAGAGACCTTGTGTTATTATCTTGGGGCAAAAAACAAGTGCCTGTGACATGGCAGTGTCAGAGAGTTTAAAAAAAATTTCTCTGGAAAAAATCCCCCAATCTTACACTTATCTGGTTTTTCTTAAAATATGGTGATAGTTTTCCAGTGAGTGGAACAGACTTCTGAGATTGTAAAACATTTAGCAGTTAGGCTGTTTAGTGTTTACATGGTACATGTGGTAGTATGGAAGTAACACATCCAGACTTTGAATATATTCCTCCTTACAGGTTTGACAATGACAAGCAGATGGACTGACAGAACTAAACAAATCCACTACAGATAGGAGTCATCCACGCATAATCACCGTTCATAATTTACCTGATTCTGCCAGTGCAGTGTTTACATTCTGGAGGAGCCCACCCTACGTCACACACGCACGATCCATTTACACATCTACCCTCGACACAGTTAGACAGCGAACATGTATCCAGTTCTGTGTATATTGTCTGGACAGTCAAAACTAACACAATAAAACACAAATATAAATAGCTAGGTGTTAGTTTTCCTTTCTTCTTGTCCGCCATCTTGTCATACTAAACAGGAAGTGTTTGAACCCATTCGGCTCACCTCGGCTGACTACGGTACCCTACATCAAACATTACATTGATGTAATCGGCCGAGGTGTGCCGAGTGGTTTGAACCGGAAGCTGTAGAGGCTAAATGAAAGTGGCGGGAAAATTTAAAATAGCCTCACATTGTTTATCGGTTTAAAGACAGACAATTATTTTATGATCTTAATAATCTCAATGTAGAGAGTGCGCGAACGGAATAATGGGAAGGGTACCAAATTATTCTCTAGTCATTTGAGCAGGCCATGACTTAACCCAGTGGTATCTTGTATTTCAAGTTTACTGGGATGTATTGAATATATAAATAAAATATTGTCAATTTATCTTAATATCAAGATTAAAGCTACAGCAACTGCTTGCTTCTCATGTATATCATAATATGTTAGACGGTGTGACCGTTAGTGAGGGCGGAGTCGTGAAGAGAAAATTGCTACATTTTACTGTTTAATGATAAATCAGTTGATCAGTTAAATTCTGAAATTGTCAAAATATAGACTTTAAAGCAAAGGGTTCGCTTCATGCAGGTCTATGGTCAGAGTCAGAAAATCATAACAAAGAACTCAGTTCTCTTGAAAAAAAAGCTTTCCCATCTCTTACATGTACCTCGTTACTTTTCATTCAAATAATGCAAGATATTTCATCATGAGATGAATGATTGTCTACCCAGAGCACTTAAAGTCGAAGAACGTTGTGGGAAAAGAGAGGGGCATGCATTGGGCCATGCGACCAGTAATAGGTTCAACATACCGGGCCCAAGAAATGTGAGACACCACGGTCCAGCGACACCTCAAACTTTAATAGTTATACACGTAACAGTAAACTTGTTCCAAAATACTAGTATATCCAACAAATAATAATAATAAAAAAAATAATCAATTCATAAACTTTTTCTGAGCACCAATTCTTTTTCTTTCACTAAGTGATTTATATGCTTATCTAACAACTGTAAATTTATCTAGAAACCTCAAGTCATTTCTCAACTGTTATTACTCCCATTACATGGTTATGATGCCATCTAAAGTAAGAACAATATTGTCAAGACCAGATCAGAAGACGAACTTGGGACCCAAACTACAGACAGATGATCTACTTCCTGGATGAATCTAATAATTAGACCAACATTTGACTGTGTTACTATCACAAGAGTTGAAAATATAACAGCATCACAACTTTTATGAGAAAAAAATTTGCACACTAAAGGATGCATGATCAGGGACATTTAATACTATGTCCCTGTTGTGACATATCTTTTTTCTTTTTATTTATCTCTTTTTATTTTACATTATTGGCAACCCATTAATTATAATTATCGTTTTCTTTATTTTAATGAAAAATGTAAATTTCACCTTTCAATATTTTTAAAAAAACAAATATGATTTAAATAGTCTTTAGATTTTCTAAATCTAACATAATTGTATCGAAAACAGTTATATATCTGGGGAAAAAACTTTAAAATTAAAAGTTTTTCAGGTACCCTTGTCATTAATAATTAATTATATAATTTCAAAACCAACACTTGTGAATAATATAATAATAGGGTACTTTTTTGAGAAGTTATGAATAGAATATTTTATCGATGTCAAACAAAGATTCTGAATATTTGCTTCATGTTTTTAATAGATAAGCACATTTATTAGGATTGAAAAATATATTAATATGCTTGATGTGTATTAAATTTGAGTATTGTAGTGTATATATAGGTATGACATGTATACATTAACAGCATGCACTGTACTTTGAAAGTCGTATAATTTTGTGGATATTTTCATGCATTTACTGAAAGATGTACTAGTATGTAGACTGAACAACTTCCTCTCCAGACTGTTACAGTACATTATACATTGTTTAACTTATTTTTTCCTGCTTCAATTTAGACTTTATATGTAATTCCAATTGTCAAAAAAAAAAAAAAAATCTTGTTTAATTTTTTAAATGCATACATCGTATTAGATTTTTCTTTTGATAGTGATCTTTATAAGAAACTGAAATTTTGTCCCTTTAAAAACTTTATAAAATAAAATATTAAATTTTTAAAAATCACAACAAAAATGAGATTCAGATTTCCATAGATCTGCTAAATATTTATGTATCCATTTACAAGTAGATATTCATAAATAATTTGGATACCTTAAAAAAAGGAAAAGAAAAAAAGAAATCCACACAATGTTATTGAGTCTCCTGAGACTCAATAAAGGGTATTTTATTTTAACACTTTTAAAACATTTTTAACTGTTCAAAAAATTAAACTGTCAAAAAAAATCCTATATTTCTAGCTTGGTATGTATTGACAAGTATAATCCTGAAGACATTTATTATTGGCAAATTTTATTTGACAAATAAATAAGGATATTCTTGTGAAAGGGACCACAGATAGATCCGCTCCTCCATATTGCAGACGACAGCGCCGCCTTCAGGGAAATTCTCACCAATCAAATGCCGTTTAATTTGTTAGCGCGAACTATAAATAAATCTAAACGTCTAAAACGAAAGTAGGAAGGGTCTGATTACTAATGGATTTGATTTTGAGTAAAAAAAGAATTACTACACAGTATCCTTGGATTGAATGTTTTTTATTTGATGAAAGCCATCAACAACGAGAATTTGTTGGATAAAATCGCCATATTGTCGTTCCATAGGTATTGTAAATGACATATAGTTTTCAATAGATTTCTTTTATTTTTCATATACATACGTGTTAGATCTCAATGTAGAGAGGGCTCCGCCCTCTATCATTGTTTTTGATTCCAAAATTCTATTGGAATACCCATGGGTACCGATTGTGCCCCTATCAATTAAAAAAATTTGTCCAAATCTTACATGTTACCCTGATAAAAGAAGGAAACAATTGTTGTGGCCCTCAACTCGATTTTAGATATATCTACAGCATATTGTCAATTAACAAAGGTTATTTTACTTTGTGAGCTTTAAATAAAAGATACCACAGAGTCTGACAAAGCTGTACATTTCATATAGGGTGAATTCACCATGCATCGGACACATACCTTGCATCGGACAACTTTAGACAATAAATTCTCTTTCAACTTAAGATATCCGTGTATTTATTTGTTTCTGTCTAGAATATTTAAATTTTTTAATGAATATTGTTATTATCATGTTGTTTACCCCGAGAATGGCCTTGAATATCATATTTTACATCATCAAAGGGGAATAACCAGAAATTTATGATTTTTCGATTTTTAGAGTTATCGTTCTTAAAATTCGACTTCAGCGGAACAGGTCACTTTGTAAATAAATCAAAGATTGGTAATTTTACATAAATTTTAAAGAAATTTCACTTCAATGTTCGTATAATTCTTTATAGAACTGGTTTTCACTAGTATGTTCATTTCTCCGTACATCGGACACAAATTAACCATGCATCGGACACTTTCCGATGCAAAGGTAAGTACTACCATTTTCATACAGAACCCATTTCATAGCTGTTTTTTGCGGAAAAGGAAAATAAAAACTATATATTTTCAGTCAAAATACAAGTTATCGATATATGACGTCTGGAATTTGACTCAATTTATTTCTAAAAACCAGAGTATGATAAACCATGAAAAAAGGGCGCGAATTACCGCATTATAAGCATTTTAAAGCATTTCTGTGAGGTCTCTTGAATCGTTCTACATTTGTGCAACGATATCGTCAATTAAATTTAAGTTGAGGCTTATTTCTTAGATAAAAGATAAAAATATATCCAGATCAAGCATTTTAAAGCACTTTGATAAAGGTATGATATCAAAATACCGTCTGTCCGATGCATGGTAAACAAATGGTGAATTTTGATTTCTAAAAACTCGATTTTTGAGGATATTTTCTCAATAAAGGGCATATAATTGTTTCCTAAATTGATATTTTAATCACAAACTAAATGTTAAACTCCATTTTGATAATTTTCCGTCGGTAGCGATAGCGCTAGAACTTGCTGAAGTACAAGGGTATCCGATGCATGGTGAATTCACCCTATGGATATTTATCTTGAAAAAGACCTTTAAGTTAATGCTAATGCTAACAACCAAGCTTTGATAAATGAAATACCTTTAACTTTTCAATCCTTATGCAGCAATATACATGTACCTTCATCACCTGCATACATGATTTATATCTCTCAATATTGATTGGATATGAACAATTTGTAAAATAAGGTAAGTTACTGACAAACA